GGGATGCTCCTGTGCCAGGGGCTGGGATGCTCCTGTGCCAAAGGCAGGGATGCTCCTGTGCCAGGGGCTGGGATTCTCCTGTGCCAGGGGCTGGGATGCTCCTGTGCCAGAGGCTGGGGTGTTCCTGTGCCAAAAGCTGGGATGCTCCTATGCCAGAGGCTGGGATGCTCCTGTGCCAGGGGCTGGGATGCTCCTGTGCCAAAGGCAGGGATGCTCCTATGCCAGAGGCTGGGATGCTCCTGTGCCAGAAGCTGGGGTGCTCCTGCCTGTCCCCGCGGCTCCGCGGAGGAGGCACCTCCCTGCCGGGAGGAGAAGCGGCTCCTGCCTGTCCCCAGGGTGTCCCCGAGGCTGCGTGTGGCCCAGCTGCTATTTGCGTGCCCGCGGCTCGTTCGGGCGTCCCAAGGCGCCCGTACAAAAAGAAGGGTTTAAATGTCAAGCCGGCAGCGTGGGGCTTCGCGGGAGGAGCAACATGTCACTTAAAGAGTTCGGCCGTGCTGACAAAAATACTCCTGCAAGTTGTGCAGAGGCAGAGCCAGAAAAACCTGGTGTGTTTGTACAGCCCTGTTCAACCTCCTCTCCCTCCGCTTGTTTCACCTCCGCGTTCCCCTCCTGCGGAGCAGAAGGGATGCAGCCACAACAAATGACTTGGCTGCGTGTTTTCTGCACCCCGGGTTCTACCCTACCATCACATCGGCAGCAGCAGAGGCCGGTCCGGGCGCGTCTCTTCCAGCGACCCCTATGCCTCCCAGAAGCGCCTTACCTTTCCAGGCAAGTGATGGGGAGCGCGGCTAAGCCCCGGCACATGCTGAGAGCTGGGCACCCAGGCATCCAGCAACTCATCGGCTCCTCCCGGGGCTGGCAGGGGGTGCGACAGGAGGGCTGCGACACCAGCCGCCCCGCGGACCCGTGCTGGCGGCTGCGACGGCGGCGCGGAGCCGCGCTTTATATCGGGTGGGAGGCGGGAGAGCGGGGAGGGGGACCGGCATCACTCCAGCCTCCAGCCAACCAAGAGCTGCTCAGGCAGCGCCCGTGAAGAGGAGAGCTTAGGTAAGTTGGTGTGTGCTGCTAAGCGAGGGGGGAGTGGGAGGCCCAGGCTCGTCCTTGAGCATCACAGTCATAGCCGCTTCCCCGGGAACAGGAAAAAACAGGCTCGTGTCCAGCGACGTGTGGAGCCTGCTGATTAACCGGCGGGTGGGAGAGCGAGGGACAGGACAGACGCCGAGAGTCGTCAGCTCCATCCTCTGCTCCATCCCTGCCTCCATCCACTGCTCCATCCCCTGCTCCATCCCCTGCTCCATCCCCTGCTCCATCCCCTGCTCCATCCCCTGCTCCATCCCCTGCTCCATCCCCTGCTCCATCCNCCATCCCCTGCTCCATCCCCTGCTCCATCCCCTGCTCCATCCCCTGCTCCATCCCCTGCTCCATCCCCTGCTCCATCCCCTGCTCCATCCCCTGCCCCATCCCCTGCTCCATCCCTGCCTCCATCCCCTGCTCCATCCCCTGCCCCATCCCCTGCCCCATCCCGCTGCTCCATCCCCTGCCCCATCCCCTGCTCCATCTCCTGCTCCATCCACTGATCCATCCTCTGCTCCATCCTCTGCTCCATCCCCTGCCCCATCCCGCTGCTCCATCCCCTGCTCCATCCCACTGATCCATCCCACTGATCCATCCCACTGATCCATCCCCTGCTTCATCCCCTGCTTCATCCCCTGCTCCATCCCCTGCTCCATCCCCTGCCCCATCCCCTGCTCCATCCTCTGCTCCATCCCCTGCTCCATCCCCTGCCCCATCCCCTGCTCCATCTCCTGCTCCATCCCACTGATCCATCCCGCTGCTCCATCCCGCTGCTCCATCCCCTGCCCCATCCCCTGCTCCATCCTCTGCTCCATCCCGCTGCCCCAGGGCTTCCAAACCTCCCCGCACTTCCCCAGTGGTGGCAGCCCCCAGCGGGGTCAGGAGGGTTTGTGCTTCCTGGGGGGATACAGATGGAGCAGGAGGGTTTAATGTTTCCACTTCCCTCTTAATGGCACTGCCAGTTCACAGCTGGAATATATAAGGACAATGTGCTGGCTGAAGTTGCACTTCTTCGACACAAATCCCCTGCTGGGTGTGTGGTGAGAGGAGGGAGGGGAAGGGATGCACATCAAAAGAGCCAAAACCCGGGAAAGGATCTGATAATGGAGGATCCTGATGAAACCTGAAAATTGAAAGGAGATTAAAAGCCAGGGAGAGTTTGGAAACTGGAGGTGAAGGACTGAGCCAGCAAAAGAGAAAGATGAAGAGAAAGGGTTAAACCAGCACACACCAGCGAGCCCCAGGGTCTGGAGCTACAAGAACCAGAGGTCCCTGAGAACCAACAGGCCCCGTGGTGAGCTCAGGCTCACACAGGATCCCAGAGCTGCCCTCCCTGCAATTCCCAGCTCAGTGGCTCTGGAAGGGAGTGACCTTAACCCCCCTGCTCATGGCCAGCCAAGCACAAGGCCACAGCTGCCACTTCCACTCCTCATCCTCTCCCTTCCTCCCTGCTATTCCCAGCTCAGACATTTTTCCAGAGCTCAAGTTGTCTCCTACCCTTGCTGCCTGCATTCATCACACACAGCACATTGCCAGAGCATCTTTCCCAGGAGAGATGAACTGTGCCAGGAGAGTGGCAGCACAAAGTCATCTGGGCAGGAGAAAGGCTCCTCTCAAGCTGCCTTTGGGAGCAGGGGCATGAGGATATCTGGGTGGGAGACTGAGAGGGGCATGAGGCACCTCAGCCCCACCGAGCAGTAGAGTCCTGTCTTTCTCTCATCACTTACAAGAAGCCACAGAATGGTCTTGCTCATGGACAGACAGGAAGGATGCATCAGGACTAATGACTGAACACACACTTTTAGCTCCTCATGTAAGAGCAGCCTCTTTCCTGATGGCTCTGGGGATTTTCACTTGAATAATCATGTTTAAGCCTTCTTGGTTAGCAGATATTCAGCTACAAATAAATGGCTGGAGCTACACAAAGCTCTAATTCAAGTCTTCTCTGTGCCTTAAAACAAAAATTAGAGCTGTGATCTTTGCTGTGGATTTCAGGGAAGAAATAGAAGACTTGAGGAGAGAGGGCTGGAAGGTTGCCTTTGCCTGTACAGCTGCTGAGAGTGTCTGTGCACACCCAAGAATGTCTGTGCACACCCAAAAATGTCTGTGCACACCCACAGCGTGTGTGCTTGGCATCACTTTTGGAAGTGCCACACCAGCCTGGAGCTCCACCCCAGCTCAGCACCACGCTGGGAGCACTGGGGTCACAGCAGCAGTGGCACCTGGGGGTGGGCACAGGCTGCTGGCACCCACACTCAACTGTTGCACAGAGTCAGGGCTGGAAAGGAGATCTGGAGATCATGCCAAAGCAGCTTGGCACTCACCTCCCTGCTGCAGCAGGTGACCAGAGGCTTTAGGGAGGCAATGCCCCTTCTCCTCATCCCCTACATCTCCATCTCCTTGTGTGGTTTTTCCACACAAATTCTGTGGAAATGTTCACCTCTGTCTCTTTCCCCTCTAGCACTGCAGCCCATCCTTGCAGCCGCAGATCTGCGAAGGCACAGGGTGCTCTGGTAACTCTCCCTGGTGTTGGAGGCACGCTCTGAGCAGGTCATACCAGGAGGAAAACCTCCAGGAGCCTGGCCACGTGTGGCAGGCACACGGGACAGATGATTCCTGGCTGCAACTCAGAGCCTGGCACAGCCACCGTGCTGGGAACCACGTGCTGCCTGGAGCAGCCAGGCAAATTAACTATGGCAAAAACACAGCTGGGATGGCAGCAACTGGGGGGTGTGAGCCAGAGCAGAGAAACTCTGCACATCTCTGCCCTGAGGCTGCAGCCTGCTGAGCCCCTCTCTTTGCTCCAGGCCCTGCTTCCCTGCTGCTTTTCCCCAGAGAAATGAAGTGCATTGGACAAGCGTGTGTGCGTGTGGTTTTACCTTGTCCCCTGTGGCAGCTTTTGAAGCTCTGGGCTCAGGTGAGGCCAAGCTGACAGTGAAGCAGAGCTGAGGAACTGCCCATGGTGAGAGAACAACCCCAGGGAAGGGGTCAGTCAAAGGCTGTGGTTTTTTGGGGACCACAGCAGCTCAGCCAGCAGAGGCACAAAGGTGTTTGCCACAGAGCTGGCTCTGGGACACATAGAGTGCCAAATCTATGTGTGCAGGTCTGAGCCCAGGCACAGGAGTGGGATTGGGCTGTTCCAGCAATTTCCTCCTCACCAGGGCTGGGACAGACCCTGTGGCCGCTGTGCCACAGCCACCAGCTGAGCCCTCTGCTCCCTGGGGCAGCTTTTCTGCCTGTCCCCTCCGATGGGGCTGCTCCAGGACAGGCAGCTGGGCAGCATGGGCTGCTCTAGGTGAGATATTTCATCTTGCACAGCTCTTCCCAGGGTTATGCAATAGCCTCCGAGCCCAGCCCGGCGTGTGTACTCAGATGTCTTCATGCTGCTCTGTATCTGATTGAATTACGTGCTTCCTGTCTCATTTAGCTTAGCAGCCTCCCGCAGCTCCGGCCCCGTGCCCTCCTTTATCAGCCCTTGTTTTGGAATACAAAAACCTCATCCGTGTCGCAATGCCCAGAGCCGTGCCACAGCCCTGCCAGCGCCAGCCCACCTCCCGGCCATCAGGATGGTCTCACCTCCACCACGAAGCTCCTGGCAGCCCAGGCAGGTGCTGTGCTGCCTTCTGAGGCTGGGAGGTGGCTGGGCTGAGAAGGCACCCACAGCCACCCTTTGCCAGCTTTTGGGGGGCTACAGCCACTGGCTGGCTTCACCTTCATCAGCAGACACCCCCCACACACACCCCCATCAGCCCCAGGGAGTGCTGTATTTGCAAAATGCATGCAAAATGCATGCAAAATTGGAAAACACAAAGTTTTCAGCCCCAAGCTACAGAAATGGGGTGGGGAATTGGTAAAACAAGGGTTTGGTGACATGGCTGGGCTAAGGCACCCACAGCCACCCTTTGCCAGCTTTTGGGGGGCTACAGCCACTGGCTGGCTTTACCCTCAGCAGCAAAATACACACACCCCATCAGCCCAGGGATTGCTGCTGCTGTTTCTGGGTTATTTGCAAAATGCCAGCACCTTTGGAAAACACAGAACCAAAGGTCTCAGCCCCAGAAATGGGGTGGGGAATGGGGAAACAAGGGTTTGGTGACAGGGTGCAAAGTGCCCTTGTGTATGTGCCCAGTGCACAGCTCTGAGGAGAACTCCTGGCAGGAGTATTTTTGTGGTTTTATATTGTTCGAGTGGAATAAGGGGAAGATGCAGCAAGAGATTGGGAAGGGGAGGCAGGGAGAAGGAAGAGGGGAAGAGCTAGGCTGAGCTGTGCTGTTGGGGTCTCACTGCAGGCAGGCTCCCCAAGGAATCCATCCCAAATTTCTCCTAAACAATAGGGGAGCCACAGAGGTGACAATCAGGGATGGCCAAACCTGAAGGCGCTCCTGCCCTGAAATCTGGGAGGTGCTGAATGCAAAGGAGCAGAAATGGGAGGTTTAAAGGCCCTGCTCATGTTGCACAGCCCTTTCCTCCTCCTGCAAGCTGTTGATAGGCTCTGGATGTGTTTAAGGAGGGAAGTAAGCCAAGGAGATGGGGATGGGATGGAGGCTGGTGCTGGGCAGGCAGGAATGTGGAACGGGGACAGGGTTTAGTGGTGGGCTTGGCAGTGCTGCATTAATGCTTAGACCTGATCATCTTAGAGGTCTTTCCCAACCTGAAAAATTCTATGATGGTGCCAGGGAGGAGCAGGGAAGCTGCCAAGGCTGAGACAGCAGCCAAGCATTTGCCAGTGGTCCCTGAGTAGCCACACTGCAGCTGGGGCTCGGCCATGGGCACAGCTGGTGGGACAGGGACAGCCAGGGGTGGCTGTGGGACACCAGATCTGTGTGGCTGCAGGTGAGCCTGGCTCCACCTGTGC